CAACAAAAATCAATTAATTTCACAGCAAATAGTCCAAGGCTCCACACAACGTATATAAAACCTCAAAAACAATAACAGAGATGGAAAAGTAACTCAACATAGGATAACACCTTCTTTAATCCAAATTTTTGATAAATATATAAATGCCTCTTTTTAAGCTTATTTAATTAATTATTTACAAATGGAAAATCCATAATGAAATTAATTCCAAGAGATATCAAATCAAAAAATACACGGAATTCACATAAAAATCCAAGTGGCAATCATCCCAAATTATCATATAAAATACAAACTCCACAAACAAGGAATGAGAGATGACAAATACATGATTTAATAAGTACCAACAATTTCCAATTTAATACATAAGGGTGTCTACGAAGTTTAACCGATATAATTTACACATTTAAGCCAAGTACGTACTCGTCACTCGCGTACATGGTTTTCAATTACACAATTTACACATAAAACTCAATGCCTAAGGGATAATTTCCCCCACTCAAGGTTAGGCAAGATATTTACCTTTTTTACGTTATGCCGATATTTCAAAATAGCTTTCTTGCTTGAATTGACCCCCGAACAGGTCAAATCTATCCAAATTGATTGTATAAATTTATTAAAATTCATCGAAAATAATTTCGGATAATAAAACATCAACTTACAATTTTACATTAAAAAGTCAACCCAAAATTCAACGCGGAGCCCACCTCTCGGAACACGATAGAATTTTCATAAAATCCGAACACCCATTCCGATACGAGTTCAACCATACCAAATTTACCAAATTTCAATAATGAATCGACTTCCAAATCTTAAATTTTTGTTTTTGAAAGATTTTGCAAAAATCCCATTTTCTTCCAATTGATTCACTAATAAAAGATGAAAATAATCATGAAATATAATGAAAATCGAGTAGGAAACACTTACCCAATCCATTTGGTGAAAGTCCTCTCAGACATTGCCCAAATCCGAGTTTCCTAGCTCCAAAAATGTTAAAATGAGCTAAAAATGAAACTGCTCAATAAAAACCCATTCCCCGTCATTAAAAGTCCATTTTTCGTTACTAAAAGTCTATTTCCCGTCACTAAAGGTCCACACCAGAACCTGCTTGCACCAACAATTTAATATTTCACTAAAAAGGCACTAACTCCTTCATACGAACTCGAAATTCGACGATTCTTGTTCCTATGAGTCACAAATAATAATAAAAACTTAGTAGTTCAATCGAAACTCAATTTGGAGCTCATTTGCTCAATCCGATACCAATTTCGCTCGTTAAACAATTAACTTATGTTTCGCGCTAAAAACTCAATCACGACTTGATGAAATTAGACCAAGCATTCCAGATCATTCCTATAATTCATTATCAAACATTTGGAAGACTCGAAATCAAATTTCGATCTCTAGAACTAAAAATGGACCTTTGGATCATTACATGCTTATGCTCAAAAAACCAAACTCTTCCAAAAACTTTCCCAAATAGCCTGTAGTTTATCAACCATAACCTTTTGTACCCAGCTCTAACTGCCAAACGGTTTATATTTCTGGAAACTAGACTCAAAGGACTACAACTTTTATGTTTTTCTCATCATCCAACTCTTTATAGATTGCAAGATATAAGCTTCCAAAGTTAGCTATGTGCAGCAGAAATTTCTGGCGATGCATACTGCTATAGCCAAAATCTGTAGTACCAGCCTTCAGTCAATCGATCATAACTTTCTGTACAAATGGTTAAAAGATAAATAATTTATCATTCTGGAAACTAGAATCAAAGGACTATAACTTTAATGTTTGATAATTTCCATATTCCATATAGATTTTGAGATATAAGCTTCCAAATTCAGCTCTGCGCATCAGAAATTTCTGTCAAAAACCAGCAGTTAAAAATGATCCGATACCACTCCGAAACTCACCCGAGCCCCTCGGAACCCCGTACGAACACACAAAAAAAATTTCCAAACATATTATGGACTTAGTCAAGGTCTCAAATCATATCAAACAACTCTAAAAACACGAATCACACCCCAGTTCAAGCCTAATAAAAATTAACGAATTCCAAATTTTACATTCGATGCCGAAACCTATCAAATCAATCCGGAATGACCCCAAATTTTGCATGTAAGTCATAAATGAAATAATGGATATGTTCCAATTTCCAGAATTGAATTTCGACCCCGATATCAAAAAAGTTAACTCCTGGTCAAACTTTCCAAAATTCTTCTATTTTCCAAATTTTGCCAAAATGCGCCGAATTGTCCTACGGACATCCAAATCCAAATACGGACATGCGCCTAAGTCTGAAATCACCATACAAAATTATTTAAATCATCAAAATTCTATTCTGGAATCGTTTGCTCAAAAGTCACATCTTCGGTCAAACTTTAGAAATTCAAGCTTTATAAAATCAAACCTTTTGTTTGTTTTTCAAAAACTAACGGAAAGCGTGCCTACACACCTCAGAATAACTTTAAATTTTGTACATAAGTCATAAATATTGTTACAAAACTTATCAAACTCTCAAAATCCAAATCGAGACCCGGTATCAACAAAAATATAATTATGGTCAAATTTAGAAATTCTTTAAACCTTTAAATTTCTAGTTTTCGTCAAATGGCGATAATTCAAGCTAGGGACTTCTAAAATTGATTTCGGGTATATGCCCAAGTCCTAAATCACAATACGGACCCACTGGAACTGTCAAAATACTAATCCAAGTTCGTTTACTCAAAATATTAACCGGAGTCAACTTAAATGAGTTTTAAAGGCAATATTTCACATTTTCTTTGATTTTTCACATTAAAACTTTTCCAGAAAAAGATACGGACTGCGCATGCAAATCAAGGAAGGTTGAATGGAGATATTCGAGGTCTCGGAATACATCAATGATGGTTAAAATTAAAAATGACTTATTGGATCATCACAAAAGAGTAGTATCAATATTACCTCTATCGAACCCATGTTCAACTAAAAATGAACTTAGCCTTTCATACCAAGCTCTAGTGTCTTGCTTTAGGCCGTACAATGCTTTGGACAATTTATAGACATGATTAGGAAAGGTTGCTTAACAAAGACTTCCTCAGAGATGAATCCATTCAAGAAGGCACTTTTCACATCCATTTGAAATAGTTTGAAACATTTATGAGCAACATAGGCTAATAGAATACGAATTGATTCTAACCAGGCAACATGGGTGAAGGTCTCCTCATAATCGATTCCGTCTTGCTGTGAATAACCTTGTGCTACTAGTCTGGCTTTATTCGCACGACTTGTCCAGATTCATTCAACTTATTTCTGAATTCCCATTTTGTTCCAACAATGGATGCATTCGGTGGATTAGGGATGAGTTCCCATACCTTTTTTTTCTCAAATTGATCAGTTCTTCCTTCAATTCAGTTATCCAGCTTTTGTCCCCAAGTGCCTCGTCCACCTTTTTTGGTTCAAACTGGGATATGAGAGCAATATTTGATGTCTGCTTTAGAGATCTTCTAGTTTTCATTCCTTCCCGAGGGTCTCCAATGATATACTTATGTGGAAATCCAGGTTCACTTTTCCATTCATTTGGGACAACTAGTGCCAGATCTTTTTCAACAGAATTTGTTGGATCGATTGTAGTAGACTCCTAATTTTCTATAAGATTCTTAGTCGACTGATCTTGCTGATCAGTCATTTCTTCTGGAGCGATTTCACATGTATTGATAGACTTTGACACTATGGAAATTTCTTCATCTTCAGAAAGTTGATCATTCTTCAAATGAGGGTTAGTATCCACAAAAATAACATGTATAGATTCTTCAATGGATAAAGTACGCTTATTAAAAACTATATATGCTCTACTAGAGGGAGAGTATTCAAGAAAAATACCTTCATCGCTTTTGGGACCAAACTTACCAAGATTATTTTTCCATTGTTGTGAATAAAGCATTTACACCCAAAAGGATGGAAATAACTGATGTTGGGTCATTTTACTCTCCATAGTTCATATAGAGTCTTATTGAGTATTGGTCGAATTAGGCATCTGTTGATGATGTGACATGTTGTACTTACAGCTTCTTCCCAAAAGTAGTGTGGAAGAGAATTTTTCACAATCATGGTTCTTGCCATGTCTTGCAAGGTTCGGTTTTTATGTTCCACCACTCCATTTTGTTGTGAGGATCTTGGAGATGAGAAATTGTGAGAGATCCCTTGATCATTGTAGAAGTTCTCAAATGCTTTGCTTTCAAATTCTCCTCCATGATCACTTCTTATGGAGGAAATGTAGTAACCTTTTTCCCGCTGTACTTTCTTGCAAAAGACTTCAAAGTTTCTTAATACCTCATCCTTGTGACTTAGAAAAATAACCCAGGTAAATAGAGAAAAATCATCTACTATAACGAAAGCATACTTTCTACCACCTATGCTAGTAGTTCTAGTAGGCCTAAAAAGATCCATATGCAGTAGATGAAGAGGCTTTGTAGTGGAAACAATGTTTTTGACTTTAAAAGAGGACCTGGTTTGTTTTCCTAGTTGACATGCATCACAAATTTGATCTTTTGAAAAATCTAGTTTTGGAAGACCAATGACAAGATCATTTTTAGAAAGTTTATGAATAGTATGCATGTTGGTATGACCAAGTTTTCTATGCCATACCCAAGGGTCATCAAGTATAGAATCTAGACAAATTTGATTACCAAAACTGTCTAAGTTACTGATGGTATAGACATTTTGGTCCCTATTTCCAGAGAGAATAACTTTACATGATTCATCTTCAATGAACCAACCATGTTTTTTGAAACGAACCTCGTAGTCATTGTGATATAGTTGACTAATACTGAGAAGATTATAACCAAGTTTATCAACCAAATACACTTCATCTACATCACATGTTGAGCTGAGAGGAATCTTTCCAACTCCAATTACGATTCCTTTTGATTTAACTCTAAAGGTAACTGTTCCTCCATCTAGTTTGGTGACCTTTTTCAATAATTGTTTGTCACCAGTCATATGTAACACGTGCTGTCAAGATACTATTTTCCTTTTCGATTCTTCTTGCTGTGCTCCTGTAAAACAAAATTACTTGTTTTTAGGTACCCAAGCCTGCTTGGGTCCTGAATGGTTTTGTGAGTGTTAGCTTGACTAGAGAATTTAGGTCGCCAGACCCATCTTCTGTTGTCCTTGAACCTGCAATGGTTAGAAGTGTGACCAAATTTTTTGCAATAAAAACAAGACGTATTATTGGGATTTTCAGAGCCTCTTTCTGCTCTAATTATATTCCTGCATTGGTTAGTGTTGTGACCATTTTTACCGCAATAAGAGCATGCATGGGAATTTCTAGTTCTAATCAAAGATATATGAGGAACAATCTCATTTGATTTGACAGAACCATGACTGGTGGATTTTCGCAATCCATTCAGTTGAAGTTGAAGTTTATTAACTTCATCTTGAAGCATATCATGCTCAATTTCATAGACTTCCAGCTTCAAGGCCCAGTCTTTCTTTTCTCTTTGAATTTTTCTGAGTTCATTTAGAACTCTCTCAATATCTGCAAGAGTAATTTCAATAAATTCTTGGAGTTCATAACAGTTGGGACATGTAGGAAGCCGTACCTCACTGGTTCCCTCGTCTGCCATAAGACCAAGTTCACTTGAGTCCTCTTCTTCATTTGTTCCTTCATCTGCCATGAGCCCAAGTTCATATGAGTCCTCATTGCTATCTTCTTTTATGGCCATGAAACACATATTTGCAATTTCTTCATGGTCAGATTCTTCTTCATCACTCCAGGCTCCAAAGGACTTCTTCTTTTGAAAGTTCCTGCTGAGCTTCTTCTTCAGTTCGGGACAATCAACTTGAATGTGTCCATTCTTTCCACATTCATAGCATCCTCCATCATTTTTATCATTTTCATTATTCATCCTTCCTTTTTTGAAGTTTGATTTTCCTTTCCTGTTATTTCTGTTTTTCCTCATCATGCTTGTTACAACTTGAGAGAGCATGGCTATGTTTTTATCCTGTTCTCCTCCTTCCTCTTCCTCTTCATTTTCTGGTTCAGCCACAGTTTCTTTAAAAGCAACCGTTTTCTTCTTTTCTTGTTGAATCTGCCTGTCCAAGTGAGTTTTCTCAAAGGCAATCAGATCACCTCTAAGTTCATCATAGGGCATTTTGTCAAGGTCCTGACATTCCAGAGCAATAATCTTGGGCTGCCAAATCACGGGAATACTTCTAAGAGTTTTTTTGACATGTTCTCCACTTTTTATTGGTCTACCAAAAGACTTTATATATCCAAAGATTTTGCTGAACCTGGAGAACATTTCCTCTACTGATTCTCCATCATTCATTTGAAATAGCTCATAGTCCCGAACTAGAAGATTGATTCTTATTTCTTTCACCTTGTTGGTTCCTTCATACGTGACCTCCAATATATCCCACATTTCTTTAGCAGTTTTACAGCTTGAAATCTTTTAATATTCTTCTCCACTGATAGCATTATACAACACATGTTTTGCTTTGGCATTCACTGTTATGACAGGTGATTGTCCATCAGTGTAATCATCTAAGTCAAGTGGATCAGTTGATACTATGACTTGACTATTTTTGTCTTTCTTTGGCGGAATTGGAAGATTTTCCTTTTTGATCATGTGCCAAACTTTAATGTCATATGATAGTGTATATGTTTACATACATACTTTCCAGTGAGAAAAGTGTTGCCCGTTGAAATATGGAGGTCGTACCTGAGATGTTCCTTCTTGAAATAGTGCTCCGACGACTGTGTTTGATCCCATGATCTTTTCCTCACGAAGCAAAGTTTGTGAGCCTTGCTCTGATACCAATTGAAAGTACAAGGGGGGATAAATTGTGGTCGATTAAAACTTGGTTGACTAAGTATGAGTTTAGTCGACTAGGTTTCGCATAACGAACATTTAAAGTAGAAATGAACCAAGCAAACTGAAAGACAAACAAGACAACCATTTTTATACTGGTTCAGTACCGGTGTGGTACTTGCGTCCAGTTTCCCTTGGGTCACAAGGGTTCTCTTAGATCTTTGATAAAAGGTTACAATAGTGATGGCTTTAGTTTGTTCACCATCAATGATATTCAACAACAGTATTTTTTGTAATGTTGACACAGCTCTCTTTTTGTGTTCTAACTCTTTCTATCTTTTATGACACTTGTGGGCTCAAGAATACAGTGTTTGTACTAAGAACTAGAAAGGTTTAGAAACAGTTTGTGTAGTTGCGTGATTTTCAATGTTCTTATGCTTTTTCCTTTATAGCTTCATGAGTCTTCTGCTTCCTTGTCTTGTGGGATTGTATTGCAGCAATTCTAGGAATCCTTTCCTTGTGAGGCATGTACATCTAAGAGAAAGATCCAAGGGCTGCCTTATGAATCTAGCTTGAAATGGTAGCTAGATTCATCTTTCTGTCCTTACGAATTTCTTCCTTCATTCTTCCTTGATTTGAGATAATCTTGGTTGATTGCTTACTTCACTTCAATCTTGACGGATTACTTTATTCATTCCTTCTTGACTCGAGCTTCTGCTGAATCTTACGGATTTGATCGTTGTCCGTGATTTGCTCTATTCTCGCACACTTGAGGATCTTGATTAACACTGATTGGTCTGTCCGTGATTTGTTCCATTCTTGCGCACTTGAAAATCTTGTTCAATATTGATTGATTCCCTTCTAGTTAGGCTAACTGATTTATTTGCCATGTAAAGCAATGGTTCAAGATGCATAGCCGTTGAGTAGATCTTCTTTCCTTTTAGCAATGTTGTTACTCACCAGAATCTACATATAATAATATATCATAGTCAAAGCTTCTTTAGGGTTATTGATCATTATTAAAATTCTAAACTTAACAAAGTATGTCTTCCATTTACATTTTTTCTGTCCTATTGTATGAAGCTAAAGTATAATTTCTCTAATTCTTGCATTGTTTAACCCAAAAAATTATTTTCAAGGTTAAAGTAATAAATTTTATATGACGGGCCACAAGCAACCGATTCGATCTGAAAGATATAAATTTTTGTTAGTACAGCATGATAGAGAAGTGTAAAATAAATTCAATGATAGATAATATAATAAATATAAAGTAGAGAAGAAATAATTCTTATTGAATGATCCTTGATAGAATAATGAGCCAAACACAGCTTGAAGGGCCGAACTATGGCTAACTTGGGAGCAAGATGCTATGAATTACAATGTATAGAATTGTGGAAAAAAAAATTAGATTCCCTTGATGGTGATAAAAGTATGTCTATTTATAGGGCTAAATCTAAGTAACTATTCTTCTTGAATTATGAGTCCATTATGAGCATTTACTCATTCCATCCGTTACTTTTGGAAGACTTGTAACAACTGTGTAAATGTTGGAATTCCGTAACTGATGAGTTAATTCCGTAACTGATGAGTTAATTCCATAACTGATGAGTCAATCCCGTGCCTGATGAGTCAATCCCGTGCCTGTTGAGTCAATCTCGTGCCTGATGAGTCAATCTCGTACCTGTTGAGTCAATCTCATGCACGTTGAGTCAATCTCGTAATTGATTGATTCCTTTCTCATTTGTAATTATGAGATATTCTCCAGCACTTGATCCGGGCTATTTTATGATTTCCGAGGTAACAGGCACGTCACGAGTATGTTCGGTCCCGGGGGTGTTTCATATATCATCTTTACATGTCATTCTTCACTTTTCTCCAACCCTTGCTGACACATGTCGCCATTTAATAGACCCACATGACGAGTCTATTTTTTACTAATACAGAGAGTCCCCCCACTTTCCGGTTACTCACTGTGATGTGACTGGGAAGTGGAAGATTTTATCTTTTCCACCCTTGCCTCTTCCTCATTAAAAACCTTGCCGAAAAATCCAATATGGACAAAAATCGGGCGAAGGAAAAAAGAGTGCAGAACTTAGAGATTCATATGAGAACTCCACCGCTTATGTTCCTTTCGTCAATAATCGGTTGGTGATGAAAACGTACTACTACCACAGAAAGCTTGATCTCGGATTTTTAGTGTTCATCCGGAACTTTTAATCTTTGAGTTTTGACTCTTGGATTTTTAGTTTTACCCAAAAACTTTATAATCTCACACCCTTAGAGACCGGGGATGTTAATCACCAGAAAATTTGTACTTAGCCATTTGATTCGATGACTTTACGATCGGGACATCCGACCGTTAGCCATTTGATTCGATGACTTTACGATCGGGACATCCGACCGTTAGCCATTTGATTCGATGACTTTACGATCGGGACATCCGACCGTTAGCCATTTGATTCGATGACTTTACGATCGGGACATCCGACCGTTAGCCATTTGATTCGATGACTTTAGAAGAAGAGTACTATGGGTACTGATTTGGAGAGTGTCTTTGCACGTATTCCAAATAAAATATTTTACACGGGGAGGAAAGAGCTTCCGAGGATAGTCAGAGTAATCCCGAACGAATCCTCAACCTACTGAGTTTCGTCTCCAAGCTAGATGATATTTCCATTATCATGGCGGATTATAGAGAGAATTCTCTGATTTAAGAAATATATAAGTACTGCAAATTTAAGTACTGTAATCACGTTTGTCTAGACATCATTTAGTACTTTAGGGAATTTATCCGAGTACTAATTTTTCTTGGCACGTTATAAATTTATTTGAGTGCTCATACTTAGTCTTATTGTCACGGCCCAAAATCAACTGTCATGATGGCGCCTATTGTGGAACTAGGCAAGCCGCTACTCAACATCTCAACACAGTAAAAACTTTGAAAATAAAGACGGAAGCAATTAATATTTAAGAAAAGCCCCTTTTGAAATAGAAATAATCCGAAATATGACACAATTTATCCCAAAACCGGGGTGTCACCGAGTACATGAGCATCTATGCCAGAATAAAGTCTATTATAATGTCTAAGAGTAAGAACTGAAATACAGATAAAGATAATGAAGGAGAGTCAAGGCCTGCGAACCCTATGCAGATACCTCGATAGTCTCTGAAATCCTGTCTCCTCAATCAGCAGCCATCGTGACCGAAAGCACCTAGATCTACACACAAGTGTAACGTGAGTACAACCAACTCAGTAAGTAACAAATCCAACCTTTGGACTGAAAGGTAGTGACGAACTCAACCAACACAGTATAATATAGAAATAACAGTACAGAAATGTAGGCATGCTTTCAAGTTCCATAGATAACTCCAAAAGTAAAATAGATCAAATCTGAGCGATATGAAGCATAAAATTCCTTTACTTCTACATGTCAATGCACATGTTGTATGTGATGCACCATGAAGACATCCTCATGGGCTCACGCTCTCAAATGCTCAATCACTCAGTATTGTATATGGCCTAACGGCCTATGGAAGATCCATCCCGGCAAATATACATCACTGACCAACAGTCACCCAGTACCGAGTAGGGCCGATCCAGCCCATGGAGAAGATCCATCTCCAGGTATATATAGTGCTTCAGACAAGATCCATGTCCAGGGAAGATCCATCCCTCAATAATATCAACCGCGCTCACTGGGGGTGTGTGCAAACTCCGGAGGGGCTCCTTCAATCCAAGCGCTATCATAAATCAGTATAATCACTGCGGCGTGCAGCCCGATCCCATAATTGTCACTCATAATCAGGCTCTCGGCCTCACGTAGTCATCAATCTCTCCATTCTCACTCACGGGCTCACAATGTCATGAAACTAGCCCGAAAACAATGATATGATGTATCTACAAATAACCACAGAGACTGAGATATGATATGAAATGCATGAATATGACTTAGTACAAAATATCAATGAAATCAGTAAGATGCCAGCAAGAAACGACCACTATAGGTCCCAACAGTACCAGCATAAAGCCTAAACATGATATCTAGCATGGTTGACAGCTCAGTTACTTTATCACACGATGAAAACACGGATATCAATAAGATAGAACTACTATACAGTGCCATGGAATCGACGAGGTCATAATTCTCACGGTGCACGCCCGCACGCCCATCACTTGGCATGTGAATCACCTCAATACCAATCACATAACACATAATTCAGGGTTTCGAACCCTCAGAACCAAGTTTGAAAGTGTTACTTACCTCAATCCAGGCAAAACTCTACTCCAAAATGCCTTTGCCTCTCAATTGGTCTTCAAACATCCCGAATATAGCCACAAGCAGTACAATACAATTAATATAGGCTAAAGGGATCAATTCCACAAGAAAAATATTAATTATAGCCAAAAATACGGAATCGGCTCAAACCCGCCCCCGGGCCCACGTCTCGACATTCGACAAAAGTTATAAAACCCGAAAACTCATTCACTCATGAGTCTAACCATATCAAATTTACTAAAATTGACACCAAATGGTCCTTCAAATCCTCAAAATTCACTCTCCAAATCCCTAGCCTCAAACCCCCAAATTTCACCTCAAAAATACACAAAC